TCCCCTATGGAACCCTAACTCCAACCCTAATATCTGAAAGGGTGTCACAAAGAAGAGGGAGCAGGCTTGCTTTCAGCTGTCCTAGAGACAGGAGAGGAGATTCCACCCAAACATTAGGAAAAACCTCCAGCCGTTCAGAGCTGTTCAACAGTGGAACTCTCTGCCTTGGATTGTGGTGGAAGCTCCTTCTTTGGAGGCTTTTAAATAGAGGCTGGATGGGCATCTGTTGGGGGTGCTTTGTGCTTTTCCTGCATGGTAGGGGGTTGGACTGAATGGCCCATGTGATCTCTTCCAACTCTATTATTCAATGATTCTATGAACTCTATTCTCCCTTTTTTCATCTATTCCTTTTACTCGAGTGTTTTGTATAACGTAGCACATTTACAAAATAAAGAAAATATTTTAACATAACTGCAAATGTGAGAGTGCACATAATAATAATAATAATAATAATAATAATCATCATCATCATCATCATCATCATCATCATCATCATCATCTTTATTTATAACTCCCCCTATCTCCCCAGGGGACTCAGGACGGGTTACAAACAAAAAGTGGCAAACATTCAATGCCATAATAAAAACAAACGGACAAACCAAATCAGAACAATAAGTAAAAGAACATCAATATAAACTTATAATAACTATCCAAAAATAAGTACTTAAATAAACATAATAAATCTCTGAACTGAGTGAAGGGAGGGAGGAGTGGTACGCTAATATTTATAAGTCAAAGAACCATTTGGATTTTGCTAGAAAATGTTCTAGCTCGTGTGCTTTCTGAGCTACCAGATTGTGATAAAACAACTTCTGTTGGTGAGTAGATGTTTGGAGATATCTTGTGCTCCCCCTTTCTTCACATTAGAGACAATTAAATAGTTGACTTCATTTGGTTTTATTTTTAAAAACTTTTTTTTTTTAGTTTCAAGATTTTTAGTGGAACCCATGTGATGCTTTTGCAGAGCTCTAGGATTCCGTGGAACACAGTTTGGGAACAGCTGCCCTAGAGGTTGTAGAAGGCCTTTACAAAATTTAAAAAAGGGGATTCTGGGCAGTTGGAAGACTTCATTTAGCCCCTTAGGCTGCATGTTACCCGCCTAATATTTTTGCACCCTGCTACTCTTGAGAGGCCATATGCTCCCTAAAAGGTCTTTCTGGAAAATAATAATACAGATAAGTCATTAAGAGCTGATGGGAGAAGGGGTGATATGGGAACATAGCCCTCTTGCACAAGCTCTGGCATGGTCTCCGTGCAGAACCTTCGCACATACAAATTAACTGTGTGCAGTTCTGGCCACCACAGATTGGGTGAAGAGAAGGGTGACTAAAGTGAAGCAATCTCACTCCCCTCTGAAAGGGGAATAAGAACATTTTTGTCTTTTAAAATCTCACCTAAAAGGTTGGACAGCTAGAGATTTAGAAATTATGTGCACTGCAAAGGATGTAGTTGCTTCTCCCTCTTTATTTATACGAGAGCATGGAAGTCACTTGTGAAATTGACGAAGTAGGTTTGGGATAGACAAGAGAAAGCTCTCGTTCACATTATGCATCATTAATGTTCTGTGGTGATCTAAGGCACTGGCCTAGATGGATTATAAGGATTCATGGCGGAAAGGCAACATAGAAATGCCAACTTCAGAGAAGGAGGCAAATGGCAGAGGGACCTGGTAGGACAATGTGAGATGCAGGGCAAGATTGGAGTGGCAGTTTGCATGTTGGGGGATCTCAGAAATGTTTAATGCGCCCTTGCAGAATGGTATGGTTACCGTACCCTAGATAGATCTCCATTACCTGTTGAGGACCAAATGTGCACTTCTAAGGTTCTCTTGGACACAACACTAATTCAAGTTAGACACCAGAAGTATTTTAATGGTTTAATATGCTGAATGCAACTCTATAAAAAGAGGATAGTTCTTGCCTCAGTTATGCATACTGGAATGAATAACAGAGGAACTAGACAGTCAAATCATACGGCAAGTTGCAGTGCCGACTGAGTGTGCCAAACTCTTTTCCCCAAACAGTCAAGGCTTCCCAGTTGCCAGTTCTAGAACAGACTTTGGTCTAATTGGCAAGCCACAATAGGTTTCCTCTTCAATAAAATCAGGATGTATTCATTGAAGGACTCTGAACAGGCTTCCAGTAATAAGCTTTTTAGTAAGACAGCAGTGTCTGGTCACATTGCCCCCTAATTTATTTGGTAGGATCAGCCAGAAAGTCTTTCCAGTGCTATTATGCAGTTCAGTAACCTTTGGAATTGGTCTGTATCCATTTTCTCCCTTTTCACTTCCTGCTGTGCTGTTTTTTTCTCCCCTTTCAGGCCCTCTTAAAATATTCCTGGCATTGTATTATCAGCACATGTACTTCTGCAGAATTATAACTGATTGAATTTTCCATGAAGAACCACAACCCTTGGTTGTTTTAAGAAGAAGACTTCCTAAATTGCCAGTTTTAGAATGGAATACAATATTCCTTCTTGATAGCAGCATGGTTTTTCAGGTGCCAGCTACTACTAGGCCATAGCAGAAGTGGGGAATACTGCCAGCTGAAAATTGGGGGCTCTAAAGAAAATATCAGGACTCCTCCCATCAATGCTTAGCATAATGGGTGGGCCAAATGCACAGGATAAAATTGGTAAAACCCTGGACGGGATAAGTGAAGGGAGTAGTATGTGTCTGATTCATTTAATGTACTGTTTATTAAACTTTGGAAAGTTTTTAAAGTGTATTAAATATTTCAAAAGTAGGTAGTTACTGTGGTTATCATGAGTTTTATAGGAAAATATAATCATGCTTGGTTATAGGAAAAGGGGGAGGCTGTTCTAATAGGCAGAATGATTCAAAGAAACTATAGCCCAAAGGTTGCTCTGAGTTTTCCAGGCTATATTAACATGTCCAAGAAGCATTCTCTCCTGACATTTTGCCCACATCTATGGCAGGCATCTTCAGAAGTTGTGAGGTCTGTTGGAAACTAGGCAAGTGAGGTTTATATATCTGTGGAATGTCCAAGGTGAGAGAATGAACTCTTGTCTGTTTAAGGCAAGTGTGAATGTTGTAATTAGCCACCTTGAATAGCATTGAAGGCCTTTCAGCTTCAAAGCATGGCTGCTTCCTACCTGGAGTAATCCTTTGTTGGGAGGCGTTAAATGGCCTTGATTGTTTCCTGTTTGGAATTCCCCAGTTTTCTGAGTGTTGCTATTTATTTACTGTCCAGATTTTGTTCATTTTTATGGTTTCCTCCTTTCTGTTGAAATTGTCCACTTGCTTGTGGATTTCAATGGTTTCTATGTAATCTGACATGGTGGTTGTGAGAGTGGTCCAGCATTTCTGTGTTCTCAAATAATATGCTGTGTCCAGGTTGGTTCATCAGGTGCTCTGCTATGGCTGACTTCTTTGGTTGAATGAGTCTGCAGTGCCTTTCATGTTCCTTGATTTGTGTCTGGTGGTCCCTATGTAGATTTGTCCACAGCTGCATGGTATACAGTAGACTCCTGCAACGGTGAGGGGATCCCACATGTCCTTTGCTGAATGTAGCATTTGTTGGATTTTCTTAGTGGGTCTGTAGATAGTTTATATGTTGTGTTTCTTCATCAGCCCAGAGTTTGCAAGTCTTAGAGGTTCTTGTTCATAGGATCACCATAAGTCGAAGATGTTTTAATGGCAAAGAACAACTATATTAACAAATTTACTGTATTTTTAAAACATGGCTTCTTTTTCATTCTCTAAAACAAATAACATATATGCTTTTTAGTTACCCTTAAAAAAAGCACCCGAATGCTGCAATCTGCTGGCTTGTGCTACTGGCTGAACATTTCCCTTATCTGAAAATGCAAAATCCTTCATATTCTGAAATTGTCTCCCTGGGTGGATGGCACTTTTGCTTTCTGGTGGCCCAGTGTACACAAACTTTGTTTTATGCTCAACATTGTTAAAAATATTGTGGATAAAATTACTTTAAGGCTTTTTTTTTCATGTCAGGAGCGACTTGAGAAACTGCAAGTTGCTTCTGTTGTGAGAGAATTGGCCATCTGCAAGGATGTTGCCCAGGAGATGGCTGGAGGTTTTGATGTTTTACCATCCTTGTGGGAGGCTTCTCTCATGTTTCTGCACGGGGAGCTGGAGCTGACAGAGGGAGCTCAACCCACTCTTAACCGGATTTGAACCCTATCGGTCAGCAGTCCTGCCGTCACAAGAGGGCTCCTCACTCTAAGGCTATGTGTATGAGATGTATATTTTGAAATATACCTGCACTGAAATGAAATGTGTGGTTACACTTGGGTCCCATCTCCAAGACATCCCATTATGTTTATATATTCTAATACAGTATTCCAAAATCTAAAAAAAACCCTGAAATCCAAACCATTTCTAGTTTCAAGTATTTTAGATGCTATGGAAAACAGAATTTTCTCCCAGCATGTGATGTCAACACTCAAGCCCCAACATAAGACAACAGTAAAAGGCATAGATCAACACTTTTTACCCTGTGATGGTGCTCTTCCGTCATTTAGTGGGTCCTCCCCATGACTATAAAAGTAACTAAAATTGCAGTTACTCTGCAGAAGGAGTGAAGTTATTCATTATTACATTTGTGTTATAGTTATACTTTTGTTATTGGGTAAAGGAGTTAATTACAAATAGCTATTTAAGTTGTTTCACAGCTATTCTTTGTATTGCATTGTGTGCTATACATTCAATATTGATTTGCTGAGAACCAATAATGCTCAAACAGAGTCCTAGCTCTATAAAAGAGAGCTTTGCTATTGAGCAGCATATAGTGTTTTTGTATATTTATGCTGATGCTAAGTGCAACTTCTTTCTAGTATATTTAGAATCAMGGCTTGGAAGAGTTCCTATTTTGGATAGCAATGGATAGAATCACAGCCCTGCATGCCCTGCCCCCCCCCCCCGCCCCCAAATAAGTAACTTTCCCAAGTTTGGACTAAAACATTGGAAATAGGCTCAGTACAAACTAACACATTTTTCAATTATTTTAACATTGCAGTCCACACATATCGCCCGGGCCAGCTTCCAGGTTGATGCTTTTGGATCGTCTTTCATCTTGGATGTAGAATTAAACCAGTGAGTATTTAAATATATTTGTTTTACTGTGAATTTTTTCTTCTTCTTCAGTGTTGTATGTGATAGTTCTGGTATTTTCCAGCATTGCTTCTTGATTCAGATCTTGATGCAAGTTGACATAACATCCTTGGCATTGATCCAGTTGTTCGTCTCTATTAGAATAACTAGCATAAGTCAGTTGAATCTGTTGAATTCATGTACTTTACACTATGTATATGTGTCTGAGCGTACGTATATGTGTAGGCACACCTTTTTAGAAAAAAAACCTATTCTAACAGATGTATTTGTGGCTGTTTCCTAGATTGTCTACCTTTCTTTGTAACTTCTCTTAAATACAGGATCCTTCCTATTCTGGAATCCATGGTCTACACATTGTCAACCCATCCATACTTCTTGCTGCTGCCTACTATAATGGTAGCTCCTTGTATGGACCTTAAGTGGGAACTTTTCCCATGTATTTCTTTCTAATTCAGAAAATTGTATGGATTTATGTAAATCTGAACTTTGGTGTTAAACAATTTCCCTACTGTTTGTGACAGAGAGAATATTAGCTATTTCTTGTCTCGGCAGTTGACAACAACAACAACAACAACAACAACAACTTTATTTGTACCCCGCTACCATCTCCCCAAGGGACTCAGTGCGGCTTATATAAGACCGAGCCCACAATACAACAATAAAAACTATAGCAACAGTAATACAAACAATAAATAGAACTCATAAACAGAAAATAGCAATAAACATTAACAATAACACAACGACATTTAAAAACCTATGGCAGGGCCAAATGTACTAATTAATTTTTTTAAAAAATAATGCTGGGCATGACCAGCTGACATAAACAGGATAGAAATTTTGGAGAGGGATAGAGCGTGCAGGCAATCCCAGTTGATGTGGCTCTACTTTGGCTGCACAACTCCAGAGCAAGGGCTTTGATTTTGTGTGTGTGTGTGTGTGTGTATGCTTCTTTCTACACTTTGCATTTGTAATAAAGTGAGAGAGACAGAGAAGAGTTCTCTGTATTCATAGAACTTCAAGTTAATTGCAAATTATGGCAACACTAGTGTGACACTTTTGTTCACATTTTTACCAGTCCACACACTGTCTTGCCAGAGAAAAGATATGCCTCGCAGATGATCACTAAAGAACAAGGAGTTCTTTAACAGAGTAACATATATACAGTCATGTATATATATTGCTTTTGCCTAAGCCTGCAGGAAAGGGCAAAATTCTGCCCTTTTCTCTCCCCTCCCCTCTGTTGAGATGACTTAATACAAAATCTTCTGCGTTTTTGAATTTAAGTGTGCAACAACTGAATAAACTGAGGACAGAATAAAAAAGTGGGAAGAATGGAGGGAAATTGGGCATTTTAAAGCAGTTGAAAGAAATGGAACAGTCATGTGAACAGTTGCATTGACTCACAAAATGTCCTTTGAGAGATATTCAAATGGTCCTTAGGTGTCCATGTGAAAAGTCTTCTTCCAGCAACCCAGAAGCAAACCTGTCTTGGTAAGCTCCTGCACAGAAAACTCAATGTGTAACTGTTGCCAAAACTCCTAGGCTTAGCTAGCTTCTTGGGCATAGCCCAACCAATCACATTTGCATTTTCAGTTCACACTTACCAACTGATTTTTACATGCTCCAACAGCTTTCACAGATAATTCACATTATGCGCTTTGAACTGGATTATATGAGTCTACACTGCCATATAATCCACTTCAAAGCAGATAATCTGGATTTTCCCACATTGGCTGTCAAATGCATAACTCTACTATGAAAAATCAATTCATTGTTTTAGGCTGGAACTGCAGGACCTAGTAATTCAATCCAGAACATTTCTATAGATATTTTTAGGTCCTTCAGTATCATTCTACATTCAACCTCTAGAACAGGAGTCCTCAAACTAAGGACCGGGGGCCGGATACAGCCCGCCAAGGTCATTTACCCAGCCCTCGCTCAGGGTTAACCTAAGTCTGAAACAACTTGAAAGCACACAACAACGATCCTATTTCATCAGACAAAAGCAGGCCCACAATTCCCATTGAAATACTAATAAGTTTATATTTGTTTATATTGTTCTTCATTTTAATTATTTTATTTTTAAAGTGTTTTTTTTTGCACTACAAATAAGATATATGCAGTATGAATAGGAATTCATTCATGTTTTTTTCAAATTATAATCCGGCCCTCCAAAACTTTGAGGGAACGTGGCCAAGAGATTCCTAGAGAAGTGTTCTTTCATTCTAATTCAGGGAAATCTCAGGGCTATTGTTTCACTGAGTAACTGAGCAGACAGAGAGATGATGAAGGGAATTATGCAGCATTGTTCAGTCATCTGGCCTGCTAAAAGGGAGCTGACATATGCTCCCAGCATTGTGGATTTTTTCCCTTCAAATCTCAGAGTGGGATAAATGTGTTACAAGTAATAGATGAAACATAATACTTTGGAGGTAATGGAATCAAAGAGGTGGTTTATTAAAAGCAAGTATTGCCTAATACTGGATAATCTGCTTCATTTTAGTAGAATGTGTTAGCATTTTACTCATTACTTCTAAAATGTTGATGGGGGTCGTTTGGGAGAAACATATACTTTTTTTGTCTATTTCATTTTTTATTTTAAAAAACAAGTAAAATGAATAAGTAATGTTTTACTTTGAAAAATCTGTGGGTAACAAATTACTATATATACTTGAGTATGTGCCGACCCGAATATAAGCCGAGGCCCCTAATTTTACCACAAAAAAATGGGAAAATGTATCGACTCAAGTATAATTCAAGGTTTGGAAATGCAGCAGCTACAGGAAAATTTAAAAATAAAAGTAGATATAAGTAATCTTACATTAATTGAGGCATCAGTAGAACAAATGTTTTTGAATATTTACATAAAACTGTAATTTAAAATAAGACTGTCCAACTGTGATTAAATCATTATTTTAACCTTCCTCAGTGTAAATGTGTTTACATATCCTTTCAATAATAATAAAGAGAGTAAAATAATAAATGTAATAAATAATAATATTAGAGTAAAATAATGTAAATGTACACATAACAATAATAATAGAGCAAAATCATAAATGTAACAATAACAATAACAAAGAGAGTAAAACAATAAATGTTATAATAATAACAATAATAAAGTAAAATAATAAGTGTAATAATAAAATAATAAATGTAATAAAAATAATAATGGAGTAAAATAATGTAAATGTAAAAATAATAAATGTAATAATAACAACAATAAATAGTAATAAATGTAGTAATAATAAAAATAGAGTAAAATAATGTAAATATAATAATAATAATAATAACACCAAATAGAGTAAAATAATAAATTTAATAAAATAATAATAACAGAATAAAATAATAAATAACTTTAACTTGAGTATAAGCCGAGGGGGACCTTTTCAGTCTAAAAAAGGACTGAAAAACTTGGCTTATACTCGAGTATATATGGTACTTTGAAAATACCACCCTATGGCTTTAAATTGCATCTGGCTTCAACCTAAAAAGATGAAAAAGTCTGTAAAATTTCTGTAGGTGGGAATCTGTCATTGGGTGTTGGGTGAAGGAGTATACAAATGGTATCTCCTGCCTGCGATGGGAAGACTTGGCCTCTCCTTTGAACAATGTGCATTTACTGCCTTTAATATAAAGCATACCTAAAGCTGAGCAAAAACCAGATATCTGGCCATAAATGCAATTTTACATGTGTGAAACAGCTGAGACAATCCATGCCTGTGGATTAGTATGTGATTTGGAACTGTTGGTCAACGTGCTGATGCTCTTCTGAGGCGGAGACACTTCCATTTTGCAAGGAAACAGATGTGTGAGAGAAGTTTTAATTAGGCTACAGCTTTCGTGAATATCCATTGCATCTGGAATCCAGGATAAGTTGGCCTGGTTTGAAATACGCAACAAAAGCATCCAAAGAAAATGAGACAACCAGATTGCGAGGCTGAAGAAGAACCTTCCAAACATTGCTCCCTTCGGCTATAAACAGACATGGGCAAACTTCAGCCTTCCACGTGTTTTGGACTTCAACTCCCACCATTCCTAACAGCCTCAGGCCCTTTCCTTTTCCTGTGATTTTAATATTATATGTATTTTTAATTTTTTAAATATGTATTAAATTTAATTCAATGGATTTTAAGCTTAATATTGTATGTGTTTAAGGCATTGAATAATTGCCATATGTAAGCCACCTTGAGTCCCCCTTGGGGTAGAGAAAGGTGGGGTATAAATAGGGTAAGTAAATAAATAAGTAGGGTCTGACTGGGAGTAAGTCATTGTCCAGCTCAGAAACCTTGGACAATCTGTGTAAGTCTTCATTGATTCTTGCCCTCCTCACCTTTGGCGTGCCTCCTCTACTTGAGAGCCAAAATGGTAATAGATAGTAAAGGAAATTCTCCTGTTTTTCTTTTGAAAACCACCTGCTTTCAGAGAAGCAACAGAAAGTTGACCTTGGAACTTTTGTCTTTTATGGATAACAGGACGTTAGGTATTTTAATATTAGTGTTATTTAGATTTCTTTGTCATTTATTCTTGCAGATTGGCAGTTCCCAATAAGCAAGCTTTTAAATGTTTAAAAGCTTTTAAAAAATAGAAATTAATCCTATTTTTTCTTGATATAATGCATTTTAATATATTCTCCTTTTAAATTTATTGTACGGAACAAGATGCAAGTTTCCTTGCCTCTTTAAAATTATATTTCCCCATGCCACCAGATTAATTTGTCAGTACTTGTTGAACTGTTTTTCTCAAATATTTTTTCTCTTCTCATATTTCTTTTTCTCGACAGCTTTACTGCAAAGATTAAGTTTGTCCAGAAAGGGATTTCTCTTTTGAATTTCCTACTTATACAAGCATAGTTGTGAAAGCACATTATAGTTTTGGCTAAGCTGGTTTTGAGCGACTTATAGCTTTATTTCAGAATCATTTTCTTGTATAACATCAGCTCCATAGCAATCTGATCACAAGAAGTAATCCGACTTCGTGTATTA